TGCTCCGCCATGAATCTGTTTGGAAATTCAAAAAGAAACATGTTGCCTGTCATTTCATACATGTTTACTCCATATGCTTTGTTCCATGAAGCACTAGCCCATCGCCTTATGTCTGCTAAAGTGGGTCTCTCATTGATTTCTTTCCCAAAAAAACCCGATAATGCATCTTTTTAGTAGACCTGTGTCCTCTCCTCCAGTAGGTTCCAAAACAGAGATATCGCCATTGTTCGTGCTGACCCTTGCCTCTCGAAGGGTATTGGATTGCCATTTACTCTCCTTAACTGCTTGGACATAAGGGAAATTGTCCACAGTGTTTCTGGGTGGTACTATGGAATTCAGCTTGGTGGTCTGATAAATGAATCTTTCTATCTTAGCTGCTATGTCTTTCCAGCCAGAATTCAAAGTTAACTCTGGGATTATAATCACTGACCTCCCTTCTCCCTTCAGTGACAGAATACTCATATATCTTCCATGAGCGTTAAATTTCCTAGTACAGAAATGTTCTGTCATTTGCTCCTTGTACTTCCATCTCTTCACTAGATTGTTTTGATCTATCGACGCTTCTTTAAGTGCAAAGCATATCCATTCCATTGCCTTTCTACCCATGGATGATCTTCTCATCATGTTGCGGCTTCTCTCCACCCATTCAAACCATGTGTCTTTGTTGGAATTCCATCTGGTGATGTCAAAAGATTTGAATCCTGCGTTGAAATATATCCTGTTGTCTCCCATATTGTACTAACCAGCTGCTCAGGTTATGAAATTATAGAGGTTGTTTGGAAGTTATCACAGTAAGCTAGAAAGCTTGAAAAAAAGAACAGAACCAGAAATCTGGACAGAGAAGGGTTCCCCGCCACCGGAAAAAATAAAAGTTGTCGGAATTCAGAAAAAATTGTATGGATGTGCTCGGAATTACCCAGTGAGCGGGCTGTCCAAAAAGAAAATTTTGAAAAGTGGCCGAGAGGTTGCTCACGCGCCGGCGCGTGGCATTTGTCTCGCCGGAACGAGCTGTGCGTGGGGGCGCGTGAAAGGTTCTTTGTCGGAGCTGTTTTCAGAGGGGTGGTCGGAATTGAGTAGGCATGCTAATGGTGTTTATGGAGTCTCAAGATTCCTTGTTCTCAGACTCCTCGGGGAGTGTGCCTGAGAGCTTAAGAAAGTAGAGAGAGAAATAATTTCCAAGCTCAAAGCTAACCTCTATTTTTTGCTTTTCATGGTTAGTGGTAAGAAAAGCCTGCCTCACTCTAGAAATTCTCCAAAGAAGAAAGAAGAGGTATTCAGACCAGCTCTACATGCTTTCTATGTCAACAGGAAGATGAAACAAATGAGCATCTTTTCTTACATTGTGTTATTACTAGACAACTTTGGCAGCTCTTTATAGCATTAGCTGGTATTGTTTGGGTAATGCCCAAAGACACCATTGGCCTGATATGCATCTGGAACAGTATTAGGGGAAGAACTTGTCACAAGGAATGGTGGAAGATTGTTCCAGCGTGCATATGGTGGACAGTTTGGAAGGAGAGGAATGCAAGATGTTTTGAAGGCAAGAGCAGTTCAACACAGAAAATCAAGAGTTCTTGTATTTCTCTTTTTCATTTTTGGTGTAAAGAACAGTTGATAGGTGATGTGGAATCACTACTAGACCTTTTTGATTCTCTGCAAGATTTTCAGGGGTTGTACTTGTAAATATTAGATATCAGCCTCGTTTTTTGGGTGCTGAAGAATATAATTGTTACCTTTTTCAAAAAATAAATAAATATAGTTCTCCTTGCTGCAACCTGCACACTTGTGCCATTGATGGTCTTTTGGCTCGATATATTGTATATTGTGGGAAAAGTATTTTGCAAGTTGTTTCTTTGAACCGTCTGTGCTTCCAAAAGCGGACTCTATGTTTACCAACTCTAAATGTTATGTTCCCGCCAAAATTCTCCCACCCTTTTATGAAGCTCCTCCATAAACCGCATCCATACAACGTTTACTGCTCTCATTCGTCCTCCACTCTCTTCCTGCATGTCGTGCTTGTTAGCTATGACCATTCTCTACAGGGATTCTTCTTCATTTCCTAACCTTCATATCCTAGGAGTGCTTTGTCAAAAATCCCTAAGTCCCTCAGCCCAAGTCCTGCAAACTTCTTTGGGGTTGTCACTGTCTTTCAATCTTCCAAGTGGAACTTCTTCATTCCCTCTTTAGCATATAACTCAGACTTCCTAGTGATCACAATCGGAAATTCGGAAGACTCAGGACATATAGTAAGTTTGGATGTGCAAGATATGCTCTTGATAACCTTATAAAAAAAAAAGATATGCTCTTGATCAAAACTTCATTTTTAGTATCGCTTCTGCTATCCTTCTCCTTTTCTCCAATCTTTCTATCACTGTGACTTCCCTACTTGAAGCCTCCTAACGACAAACCTAGGTTGAGTGCGATGAACCAATGTTGCAATTGATGACTTGCTATTCGCGCAATCTTGTCCACCTCGTTTACTCGTATGATTTCACATTTCTTTGATCTTCAACCTTGATATTTCCTCAAACCATATCACTACCAATCTGAGGGGCTGTAGCTATGTCTGATCTGCATTGCAAGAAACTAGTTTAAAAAAAAAAGGGCAGCCCGATGCAAGGCATCATGCATTCACGCAGGGATTGCAAGAAACTAGTTTCATCAACAAAAAATAGATGCAAGACTGTGATTTTATTATGTCTTCCCACATTAGCTTTAAAGCTCTTTATGTAGCTCCCCATTATGCCCTGGTCGGCCCATCATCTTGTCGAATGCCTCTATCACCAAGATAAAAAGCACCGGAGGTAGCAGTTCTCCTTGTCTCAAGTCTGTGGTAATAGCTCAGGAACTACTTGGAATCCCATTTATTAGCACGGAGAACTGGCTATTGATAAGCAAAAGAATGTCCACTTCCTCCAATTTTCCTCGAAGCCCATCTTCGTCATCATAATGGCCAAGCAGTTCCAATTGATTTGGTCTAGTATTGTTAAAGGCTCACTTAAAGCGCGCTTAATTCTGGAAGCTTAGTGAAGCCAAGGTTGTGCATTTTGCCTCGCTTAGTTGGCACTTTAATGTCAGCATCAAGGTGTTAAGGTTTGTGCACCTTCACCAATGGTTATATCTTTAAGAGCACAACATATGCATAGCTCAATTACGGGTTTTTCCATTTTTTGGTCCAAATAATTATTGTTCTTACATTAGATTTCTATTTTTTATTTTTTCTTCGCTAAAGCCCATGCTTTAATTGCGCTTTGTGCTTAAAAGCTCCAACAAACTTTGGCGTCTTTTTTCTTTTCGCTTTGACAACTCTGTCATAAGCTTCTCCAATTCCAGCTTACAAAGAATCCCTTGGATGCCATCCTTTCTCTTGGAGTCCACTAGTTCGTTTGCCACCAAGCTGCATGTTTCTCTTCCTTTACACAAACACATTTTGGCGAAGTTGACATTGTTTTCCAGTACCTTGTTCAGTTTATTTGCAAGCTGATCTTGTAGATGCTTCCCCAGACTAACAGGTCTGTCATCTTTAGTATTCTTTGCGCCCTCCTCTTTCAGAATTACGGCAATGAACGAGAGCGGCATTATTTCATCATATAACCTCTGTGGGTGATTTTTATTATTTACTAATTTACTGCCTCTACAATTCACAAGAAATTTGCTTCATCTATCACATTGAGCCCAGAATTATGGTTCTTGACCTGTAGTATCAGCTAAAGTGAATGAACATTGTGCTATTCTTCTGAGTTTTTGTTTTGTATGTTCTTCAGCTATACCAATGGGCTATTTGTATGTAGTGCCATCATATCATGGATTTTTCTTTAAGTGATTCTTTCAGGCTAATGGGAACATTTTGGTTTTTTGTTTGTTGTCTCAACTTGTTAGCCTAAGTTTAGAAGCGTTTCTCATGTCTAATTAAATATTAGTATATAACAAGAAAAGAGCTGTTCGACCAGGCTTGTCTAGTTCATTTACTCCTCTTTCAATTCCTTTCAGGCCAGAATACATAGATTTTTGGAGAAGACCAAGAAAAGCAATGCATTGAGTGGTGACTTGGAAGATACACCTGGTGATATAATGAAAGAAAGAGAGAGGCTAAGGAAAAAAGTAAAAATTTTGATGAAGAAACAAAAGCTGCAGCAGGTTAGAAAGATAGTGAAGCAGCAGGATGATGAAAAGCCTTGGGGCCAGGATAACCTTGTTAAGGTTTGTGTTTAACACAGTCTTCCCGTTATCACCTTTGTACAATCAGTATTGGATCTTCCTTTCTCTTGGCCTGCCCTTGTGGTTGTACTTATCATAGTGTATGATGCTTTTGCTGAAATAATGCCTTTTTATAGGTTGGGTGCCGATTGATTCAGATATTAATGGAAACCGCCTATATACAGCCTCCAAATGATCAGTTAGATGATTGTCCACCAGATATTCGGCCAGCATTTGTGCACACCCTCAAAACTGTGGAAACAATGTGAGTACAAACTTAATACAATGAAGCCCTTCCCCTCAGTAGCCCCAAGTGAGAAGTAGAGGAAACGAAGAAAAGAAATCCACGCTCTTTTCAACAAGGGGTTTGCTGTAGATAACAACATCTCAGATCATTGTTGATATCTTTTATGGCTTCTGTGGTTACAGGAAAGGTAGCAGGAGATACGGTGTGATTCAATGTGATCCACTTGTTCGTAAAGGCCTTGATAAAACTGTGAGTACAGTATTTCGTGGGTATTCATTGCCTGCTGGGTGTAATGTGATTCTCCTGCTTAATCAATTTTTCTTAGAGGAATTGTAATTACAGTAAATTTGTGCTCGTGAACAGGCTAGACACATGGTGATTCCATATATGCCGATGCTGGTTCCTCCACAGAGTTGGTTAGGGTTAGTTTGTATATCTTTTCTTATTTCCAGTCTGTATTCTATTTTCTCCTTTCTGCCCTAGTGAATAAAGGCTTTTGTTTTCTTTTCAAAAAAAGAATAAAGGCTTTTGCTCCCTGTTGGCTGGAATTTTAGTAACTTTGAGGTGTGTCAAATCCATTCTCAAGATAGTTTATGGAATGAGATTTCTCACTTATACTCAATGCTAGAATTATTGTTTTGTGTAATCTGTTATTGGTATTTGCTTCTTCCTGAAGCATATGGTTGAGCTTTAAAGACATATAATAATTTTGCTCCAACAGTAGTTAGATGTCTGTTCAGATAAAGCTAAACTGATATAGTGATATGTGAATAAGGCTTATTGACTTTCTGTGGTTGGCAGTATGAGCACATATGAGCATCAGTTGCCTGGTTTGGTAATTCCAGCTCATTGGGCCTCAACACCATGTATGAATTGGGTTAAAGTTCCATATTTTCTGGCAGGTATGACAAAGGTGCNAAAAATGGAGAAAAAGAATTCAGGTCTTGTTTTTCACTTATATATTTTGGCGGTTCAGGCACTTGACACTCTTGGTAATACCAAATGGAGGTTGAATAGAAAGGTACTTGGCATAGTAGACAGAATATGGGCTAGTGGAGGTCGCCTTGCTGACTTAGTCGACAGGGAAGATGTGGGTGACAACACTACATGATGTTGAGATTATGTTTTCCCTTGCTTCTTGAGGTTTGTTTAACTGCATGCATGTTTTCTTAGATGTGAGTTGATTTCAGGTACCTTTACCAGAAGAGCCGGACGCAGAAGATGAAGCACAAATCAGGAAATGGAAGTGGAAAGTTAAAGGTGTGAAAAAAGAGAACTGCGAGAGGCATTCTCAGCGGTGTGATATAGAACTCAAACTAGCTGTAAGTTGTATCCTCATCTTAAATTCTTTTACTTTTTTTCCTTATGTTGATGAACAGAACTCCATGACCTTTTATTTTGAAGAGCAGGTTGCACGGAAAATGAAGGATGAAGATGGTTTTTATTATCCACATAATCTTGATTTTCGTGGTCGTGCATACCCTATGCACCCGTATTTGAACCATCTTGGCTCTGATTTGTGCCGTGGAATCCTCGAATTCGCGGAGGGGCGCCCACTTGGAAAGTCCGGTTTACGCTGGCTGAAGATACATCTAGCGAATGTATACGGTGGTGGTGTTGATAAGTTATCATATGAAGGTCGTGTAGCATTCAGTGAAAACCATGTGGAGGATATTTTTGACTCTGCAGAAAGGCCACTGGAAGGAAAGCGGTGGTGGTTGGGGGCGGAAGATCCTTTTCAATGCTTAGCAACATGTATTAATATAGCTGAAGCATTGAGAAGCCCGTCTCCAGAGACTGCTATATCTTATATGCCCATTCACCAGGTAATAGATAATGCAAGAATGTTGTGGTGTATAATATATGTTTGCTTAGTTTGAACTTATTGAAGGCTCCTTAGATGAAAGACTTGCAAGAAAGAAAAGCTAACTTTGGTGTTGCGTGATTTTTCTAGTTTTAGTAATTCTAGATGATGCGCACAACTAGTGTAGATGGTCATGCAGGGTGTATAGCTTGTGACTGTGAATCATGGTTTTAGGGCTTCCTCAATCACTTCCACAATTATGCAGTCAAAATAATTGAAAACATAGAATTAAGTGAAATGTTTTTATTTAGTGTCGGTCTCTTCAAGGCAGAGGTCATGGGCGATGAGGTGCATGCCTTAATGCCTGCATTTATTTGATCAAGCACCTTAGTGCCTGCATTAAAGTGCTGCTTAAAGAAGGAGTAGCTCATAACCCATTTTGCACCTGGCTTCAGGGCTTAAGCGCATGCCTAAAGAGAGCCTTTGACAACCCTGGTGCCATAGCCATGTGGCATTCTGCTACAATCTGATTGTTTTGAGTACATTTCATTTGCTTTGGCCTGAAAACTATGACGGGAATCTGTTTTGGAGAGTTCCAAAAGGCACGACGCCGTTCTATCAATATGATTATTTTATACATCTTTCACAAGTTTTGGTAACTCAAATTTATTTAACCAAATTACTTAGAAAAAACCCTTAACCAAATTCAACCTTTGATGTGATTTTTGTTTGATAATTAACTTTTGAATTATAGCTTCCTTGTACATAAATCAAACTGATATCTTAACTTGCATGGTATTCATATGCTATCACATAGGGAGTTAATGTGCCCATTAGGCAAACATATTAAACGTTGGCTAAGATTTCGCAAAATACTCTTTATTTACATGCAACAAGTTCCAACTTGTGACTTGTAGATTTTTTGTGCTGGTTCCAATTTTCTGAATGAAAGCTTCAGAAGCTGAATTATGCACATTGAGTTTCCCAGTGAACTGGTTAAATTCCTTGAAACACTGAGGTGATATGTTTTTCTTATTTATTCAGGTCAGATAGTGCCTTTGCTCAATGAAAATGTTATTTTAGTTCTGTATTATTGGAGTTACCGATACCTACATATGTTGGATCTTCTTTTGCATTTTCGGCATGTTTACTTAAGCAGTAAGACATTTGAGTAAAGTGATTCTTGCTGTAGAATTGCCAACATACTGCTATGTGATATTTGTTTTAGCTTACTGTCGATGGTTATATGATGCTGTAAACTCTCCTTTCGTTTTGATTTTCTGAGATATCCCTTAGTTTTTTCATTAATTTATCACCTACACTATGTCATTATTGCATGCTATAATCCAGATATCTTGCAAAAACTAAGTGGTTTTGTTGAAGAGGAGAACCTTACAAAAAAACCGTGCTATTTTATTTGATTTTAGTGTCCATGCTTTATGAATAATACATCTAGTTAATCGTTTTCAGTTAATAAAAATTACATGATAGTTAATATTTCTCGTGAAATCTATAGAAAATATTGAACTCGTGAATAAATAAATCCCCATTGGTTAAGATTATCAATTGTTGAAGAGCCAACTATTAATCACAAGGATGAAGATGAACTATACGTTGTAATCTATGGTAGCCTTACCTAAATGTATTTTGTGATGAGCCTTACCTAAATGTTGAGTTGCATGCATATGACATGTTTTGAAGTTTTACCTAAAATTTGAACCTGATTGTCTGCTTATGACTTTTTAATGAAGGATGGTTCGTGCAATGGGCTACAACATTATGCTGCTCTTGGTAGGGATACGGTATGTCATGTCTTCTTTAGTTGTTTTCTTTGACTTTGAGACTGTGAGATTGACTCACTGAAAAAGCTGTCTCTGTTTGATTCCAAGTATGCCTGCTCTGGGCTTGAGTTGTGAGATTAACATGTTTTGAGTTGGCATATTTTGACTCAGTCTGTGGATTACTTTACAGTTAGGAGCAGCTGCAGTCAATCTTGTTGCTGGAGACAAGCCTGCTGATGTTTACTCTGGAATTGCTGCCCGGTGAGTTACTATTTAACCACTAAACTGTACCTCCTTTCTTTCTTCCTTTCTTTTGCATTCACTCCTTCGACGTGGCTTTCTATGCAACAAGTACTCGTCTGTCCCAAACAAGTTGTGGTCGGTAATATGACTCCTAGTATCTTTAACATGACTCTCAGTTCTAGGAGATTCCAATCTGAGACGAGCGGTAGAAAATGCTGCAGTATGTTAATATTCACTTTGTGTCTCATCTTTGGCGTAAGAAGATTATCAATTGTTAACATTTCCACGAAGGTTAACTAGTGACAGCTAAATACTTAGATGTAAGCTGTTGTAATTGTGATTCATGGGCTCAGGATTAGATGTAACTTGCATATATAGAGAGGATCTTTTTATTTAATAAAGTTAACAGTATTGTATTACTCGTACTGCATGAAAAGGATTCTCCTTTCCTATTTCAGTAACCTATGTAAAAGCTTCTGGATTTATTGCTAAAACAGCTTGGTTGGAACAACAATTACCCTTTCCTTGGTTGGCGGTTGATAGGAATGTCTTTGTGATTAATCTTAGTTCTGAGTCAACCTTCGACAAGAGACTATGCTTTTCTGTATCATGACTGTAAGTTCCTTTCTTCAACCAGAGTTCTTGATATTATGAAGAGAGATGCAGCTAAAGATCCAGCAAATGATCCAAATGTGATGCGTGCCAGGCTGTTAATTAACCAGGTTTGCCTCTGACATGTCTAAATTCTTCTGGTTTATATACTGTCCATGATGGAAAATTGTAACTTTTTGAAATGTCATGGAGTAATACACAATGAGCATACTTCAATAATTGGTTTCTATATTGTAGTATATTCTAATAATTTCTCATAGAGGCTGAATAATATTTCTTCTGTATTGCATTGCTTTTGATGTGCTAACTCAGGTGGACAGGAAGTTGGTCAAGCAAACAGTTATGACATCAGTGTATGGTGTCACGTATATTGGTGCTCGCGACCAAATCAAGAGAAGATTGAAGGAGCGTGGTGTTATTGAAGATGATAATGAGTTGTTTGCAGCAGCTTGCTATGCAGCAAAAGTATGAACTTATATTATTTTTATCTGCTTGGGCTTTTCTATATGCACATAGTGGATTTGTGGTAAATGTTGTGCATGGCATAGTAAAAAATTCTCTATATATCTCAAAAGGATAATTCTTTCCTTGTGGTTAGTCCTGAAAGGGTGTCTACGTTCTTTGGAAGGAAAAAATATTATGCTTTTAATATTATCTACTAGTAATATGGGTCATCTTTTCATGATTCTCGATGAAAATTTTCCTCTATTCTATTCTATTCCCACAAAACACAAAAGTCAATGTAGGGGTCCAACATATTCTCCCAGCTAATGTTAAAGCCTTATAAGAAGTACTCCAATATTTTTATTTTCTTTTAAATCATATTGTTGTTTCGAAAAACTGAAAATGGATGGGAGTGAGGACAAGTTACCCATCTAAAAAGTAGTATTACTCCAATCCTGAAACTTGCGTCCTTTTTCCAACAGTCAAATTTAACTTTAGTCAAACACATTTTCAGATAAATTTATGCAGTCCTACAAAATTCTAAATCCTCTACATGATAGTACTTCCGCGTAATGTATCATTTTTCCATTTCAGAGAAACATTTTTTTGACATTTAGTCTTGAATTTGGCTTTGGCTGGCACCAACCTTTATCTTTGGAGTCAAATTAGGAAATGTTTCGCGATGGAGTGAGTAGTTTGCAAAATGTGTAAATTACATTTAGAGGTCCATGCGATTTCTGTTGAATTACGTGTCTGTACTTTCTGATGTCTATTTAGTGTCAATGTTTCTTCAATATGACGTTCCAATGCTGTTCTGTATCTGCTTTTGTACTTTGGTCTAATTATCTTTCGTCACATGGTCAGACCACCTTGACTGCCTTAGGAGAGATGTTTGAAGCTGCTAGAAGTATCATGAGTTGGCTTGGAGATTGTGCAAAGGTTTGCTTTTATTCCAATTGTCACATTGAGTAGTTAGTACATTGATTATATTTTAAACTAAAATTGGAGAAGTTAACCTGTTGTTCAGAATTTTAAGTTTGATGTATGATACATAATTTGTGTCAGTGGTTTGTTTGTTTGTTTATTGGCTCTCTAGCCTATCCTCTGATCCTAGTTCAGTGACTTCCTTCTTATGATATTAGTACAGAAGCTGATCTTTAGGAATAAATAAAAGGGAATTAAAAAATTATCTGATGCTTCTGCTAGTTCTCTTATCTACTGGATGTGAAAAGCAGTAGCATAGGCTAAAATTGTATATAACGAAAAAAAAAATTGTTTTATGTTACCCTCTTATACTCAATGTGGTGTTAGTCTATGTTGCTCGGACTTTCCAAAAATCTCGCCGGGTGTGTGTTGGATCCTCCAATATAGTGCATTTTTTGAGGATCCGACAGGTGTGACAACATATTTGAGAGTCCGCGCAACATAGGTGTTGTCAATGAATTTGAAAGTACTTTTTGTTCCTGTTTTAAGTTTTAACTTTAGGGAGGAAAACCCTCTTCAGATGGGGAAGATTTTGAAGGTAAAGAATAAAAAGAAATGTCAGACTAGTACAAACATTTTTAAAAGCTGCATCATGAGTTCAGTCAAATCCCCTTTCTTCAGTAGAATTCAGTTAACTTCGACTGGCTCTGATAACATGTCTGTTTTACTCTTTGACACCAGTATCACCTGAATATGTTACTTCTAAATTTTTCATTTAGGATGGATTTGAAGTTCTTATGTTGGATAATTTGCTTTTTTTACTAATGGTTAGAACTTCATTCTCCAGATTATCGCCATGGAAAACCATCCTGTACGATGGACTACTCCACTTGGACTTCCTGTGGTGCAACCTTACCGCAAATTAGGAAGGCATCTTGTAATGTTCTGATGTATTCAACCTTAATTTGCATGAAATTTCAGAACAGTCTAGTCTCTGACAAAAATTTCATATTTGAATGTCACTAACTATTTGTCACTGAACTCTATGCAGATTAAAACTTCCCTTCAGATTTTGACATTACAGCGTGAAACAGATAAGGTTGCCTCTGCATCCATTAACATGTCTTTTACCTTTTTGCTTTTTCTTCATTGATAATGCTTTTCCGGATGCAATAATTTGGATTCTAGTGAAGCTATTCTGGGTTCATAGCACATTGATTATCCTTCTATGCAACTTTCTCCTTCTACTATCCCTTGGAGAAGGTGAAAGTTTAAAGACGTATACATATAAGAAATGGACGGAGTCAACATACAATACCACTGTTCGAAAGTTTGAAACTAATTGGAGATGTTGGATCATTGTACTGTGAATTGCATATCTTGGACAATATCAAGTGGTGTTATTGGTTATTCATGCTCTGTCATAAATTACAGGTAATGGTTAAGCGACAGAGAACAGCATTCCCTCCAAATTTCGTTCACTCTCTCGATGGCTCCCACATGATGATGACTGCCATTGCCTGCAAAGAATCTGGCTTAAGTTTTGCAGGTTTTGTAGTGCTGTCTATTTTCGTTCCTGTCACATGAAATGTCAAGCGTCCTTGTGAATAAGCATCTGACCAAACATGCTAATGCTTTTTACCCGATATTGGTGGCAGGGGTGCATGATTCATACTGGACACATGCCAGTGATGTTGATCAAATGAACAAAATCTTGAGAGAGAAATTTGTTGAACTCTACGACGCACCCATATTGGAAAATGTAAGTTTTATGGCGACAAAGATACTCATTTACTGCTGCTTTTGCAGAAGTTTCCCTTCAAGACATTCATGATTTTCAAATAAAGAAATTTTAACATACTGTAGCTGCTTGTAGCTTCTCTTATCCTCGTCAAATTTGCATTGGGTTTTGCTTATGTTTTCTTCAAGTCAAGACTGCTAAAGTTTATTGTGTTACAAATTATAACTCCACTGCTTATTCTTAACAGTTACTGGAGAGTTTTCAGCAGTCATTCCCCGACTTGCAATTTCCTCCCTTACCAGAGCGGGGTGATTTCGATTTAAGAGAAGTTTTGGAATCTCCCTACTTTTTCAACTAGTCGTGCAGTCTTATATTTTGATTTTGTGTGGTTGAGTATTGCTTTGTCCCTTATAATGACGAAACTCATGGGAACTTCAAATGCTTGGATCCATTGCGTCGGAAGTCAGGGAACACGAGCCTGTACTGACAAATTGGCTGCTCAGCCTAGATGACCGTGCCATATGCTACTGCAGAAGGCGGTATTGACCAATCATGTTAGGCAAGCTAAGGATATCTGGGTATGAGTTTGGTTGCTAAGCCTATGCGCTATTGGGACATACAAGCTGCTCTACAAAAAGTTGCACTGGGTGAAAGCGGTTGGCAACTGGTTTCGATGAAATATTATTTGTGTACAAGCATCTAGAGGTGTAAGCTAAAGCGAAAAAGCCTCCCGCATTTGTACATAGAGCAAGGAACCAACATGACTCTGATGGAAATGCATCAACTCCCTTCAATAATACTGGAAAAACAAACTAATGAAGACTGACCTAGATGACTCTACAGAGGGCTGAGTAGAACAGTAAGATAGTTTCTTCCCTTTTTCCTCAATAAAATTTGATTATTACTTGCTTTTGTACCATTTACATAGCAGGTTGTATATATCTTTTATGGTGGAATGTCACCTCATTTTTTTTATACCTCTGATCTTTGTCCTGAGCTTTGTTGTAATAAGAACACAGTTCTCATGTTTTAATAGAAGGGAGATATGTTCTTGTTCATACAATTACATTTTATGCCAAGAAAAGATCTCTACCCCTCTCCCTCAATTCAGTGATAGTCCATATTCTACAATAACCCAGTAGAATTCCATAAATGGGGTCCAGGGAGGGTAGTGTGCATGCCTTGCCCCTGTCATGGGAAGGTAGAGATGTTGTTTCCAATAGACCCTCGGCTCAAGAAAGATAAAAAAACAAACAGTAGAAATAAGTAATATCAACAAATAGGGCCAGAAAGATAGTAGCAACAATCTCAAAGCTAGAAATATAGATGGAAAGAAGCGGTAGCAGCAGCAAGTAGGAACAACAAGATACTAAGATAATAGAAAATATAATGAAATACTAGCAATCTAAGACAAAAACTACCATATTAATCCTAATACCTTCGGTACAGAATATAATTGCGCTCGAACACCTTCTGACCTTCTACTCTGATTTTCAACTTCCAAACCTCCTTTCAAGGGTCATGTTCTTGGTAAACTGCAGCCTCGCCATGTCCCGTCTGATTATCCCTCCATACTACTTCTTAGGCTTCCCTCTACTTTTTCTCATACCTACCAAAGCCAACCGCTCGCACCTCCTTATTGGGGCATCTGAGCCTCTCTTCTAGATACATCACTGTAAATGGCCACCAAACTTGCAAACACAGCCAAACCAACCACATAGACAAGATTTTTAGCTATGCCATGACAATATGAAACGACGATTATTTGAAAGTAGGGTTTCTGCAGATGGAAAGGGGAGGCCATCGAAGTTGAGACGAAGAGGGTAAAAACTAGCATTATTGACGAGCATAGCAGACGCAAAAGAGAAAATTAACAGTTACTCCATCCGTTTCAATTTAGAAGACACACTTTCCTTATTAGTCCGTTCAAAAAAGAATGACACATTTTTATAATTGAAAATAATTCAACTTTAAACTTTTTCATTTTACCCATTTTGCCTTTAATGAGAACCTTTTATAACCACACAAATGTCATAGTGTTACAACCCATATCCACATGTGTTATTTCATGCCATATATTAGTTAACATAAATCCAAGAAGGAATTATCTTTGAGATGATAAGATGTCAATCCTATTGGTCTTAAGTGATACAAGAGTGTATAAGGGTGATTAACAAGTATTAGAAGTTAAACGAATCAAGGATGTTGTAACTCGTATTTTCAGGTAATCTAGCGGTGCTTAATACACTCAAGAGGTCATTTATTAAGCTATTTTAATCATATAATATCCGTATCATAAGTCTTGAAGTCAAACGAGTTATGAAACAAAAGTCGACAAAAGTTGTCGCAACTTAGGTTCATAATTTTACTTAAACATTAGGTCAAATGTTTCTAATCTTTTCTCATAATTTACAAGGAATTACGGGGTGATCTACCCACCAAATTAAAGATCTATGAGTCTAGTTTCCAACGCATTAAACCGTTCATCGATACGATCTTGGAGTAGAGAGATATTCGCGTTTTCGCGAGACTGCGCCAAGCACCTCTCTATGGGGCCCACTAAGGCGGTTTAAGATATTTGGACCTATATAGGATGCCTCCAACCCGTTTTAAGTCATTTCTTCTCACTATTTTCAGACATTAGAACCCTAGGAACATCCTCTCAAGGTTCTCTCAAGATTCAAGACCCAAAAAAAGGGCAAACAACACAAATCAAGTGTCGGGAATTCCGTGGCGCTAGTAAGTCTCTTGTTCTTCTTGTTGTTGCTCATTTTTGTGTCGTTCCAGCTCGTGTGGGAGGTTGTTTTAAAGGGTTTATGTTCTGTAAATACTCCCTCATGTTCTTAATATCAATCCTAGGTGATTTCAAGCCTTCTAAAGTGATTCTAGTGCCGAAAAACACTAATTGATCGCTAGTTTCGCTTTTTTGTTGTTGTGGCAGCATTGGAGGGATATTTCATGGAAATTTAAGGTCAAATTGGAGTTGTTCTTTCTGTATAAAGGTAAGGAACCTCTTACTCTATATGTATTTAAGATTATCCAAGTTGCGGCTAAGCCATTGAAGCTAGAACTTGTGAGATATATATCGAAAGGCTTGGTAGTAATGTTATTGTTTTGTGGACTGTTTTGCGTTGTTGTTGGGCTGCGTATTTTACTACTATCTTGTGGAGTTTTGGAGGAGGAAGGGTGTGGAGAAACACCATATATATGTAGGGTTATGGGCTGATAGTTATTCGTAACATTTCCAGGTTGTTTGACACGACTACGGTGGTCGTCGTATGTATGGAGTGATTAGGCTGTGTGTGGACTATTTTGGGAGGCTCAATATGTTTATTATTGATGTTGTTTGGGCTGTTTGGTGACTGTTTTGAATGGTGTGAGGTCATATATATAGGGGAGGTGCTGTCCGTTTCATCGTAAAATAGGTTGTGGTCGATACATAATAGTTATGACGCTTAAATGATAACGATAGTATCGTTTCTCTTATTGTAGACTAAGGAGTTTTGACAATTGCATAGCTTGAGATTGGGGCAGTATATACAAGGTATGTGAGGCTATCCCTTTCCTTCTTTTGCACGACTCCGATTGTACATAATGTAATGAACGAGCTTCCAAGATACTCTACTCTTAGAAGCTAGCAGTACTTACATTGTTTTCCCTCTTATGGAACGATTGATGTTAATGTTGCTTCTCTTATTCTTATGTTATCAATGTTGTTGGTACTTCCTGATTCTTATAAGGTTCATAGTGAAGAGTTAGTCCTAATAACGTGTACAGAGGATACCGACCTTACGTCACTCCGAAAGGTTTAGAATGTGATTCCATGAGTCGAGCATGCATTATATATATGTATCTATTTTACTCTACCGAGCCACGCTATAGTTGGCCGGGTACGGCACCTATTGTGCAACCACTGATCAGTTGGGTTTTACCGAGCTCCACGTGGCCGGGTACGATTCTACCGAGCCTATTATGGCCGGGTACGATATGATGATGATGATGCCCACAGAGGCGAATGCTTTAAAGGTTTATGTATTTATACATATGTATCATGCATTTCATGTAAGTAGCCCTCAGAGGTACTAAGATGTTACAGGTTGTATATTCTCTATCCTTGCTTACATTACTGATCGTATTTATGGTTCCTTGCCTTACATACTCAGTACTTTATTCGTACTGACGTCCTTTTATTTGTGGACGCTGCATGTCGTGCTGCAGGTCCTGATAGACAGGCAGGTGCAGCTCCCCCACCACAGTAGACTGTCCAGTTCAGCGGTGATTGGCGAGATCCCTTCTCCGGACTTGCCTTGGTCTTGGTATGCAATTTTTGTTATAGACATTATGGGTATGTCGGGGCCCTGTTCCGGCTATGTTGCAACACTTATGTTCTTTTAGAGGCTCATAGACAGGTGTCGGCTCATGTATAGTTTGGTATGCCTTGTCGGCTAGTTTTTGTTGTATAGTCTTTCATAGTAGCGTGGTAGCTCATACCTTATATGTAGTTTCTTGATTGTCTGGTCATCCCCTGCTATGTATGTTCATGCCGTCATATTTTATTGCTGGTTGTCCATGATCTAGGTCTACCATTTATATTGATCTCGTCAGCCTTAAAAGATAATAATGAAGGTTAGATGAAATGTACGTTGGTGCTCGGCAAGTGTGGTCGGGTGCTAGTCATGGCCCTTCAGTTTGGGTCGTGACAAACTTGGTATCAGAGCAAGTCTGTCCTAGGGGTTGTCTATGAGCCGTGTCTAGTAGAGTCTTGATTATGGATGTGTAGCGCGCCACATTTATAATCAGGAGGCTACATGACATCTAGGGTTGTTACCTTCTTCCTGAATCTAGATCGTGCGTAGAGTTGAGTCGTAAGTGTTCGTCTCTAATATTCACCTTGTTTTTTTCAGTGATGCCTTCGACTAGGAAGCAAACGATTAGTAGACGGCTTGATACAGCAGCGGGAGAGGGTACCAGTCAGGTGCCCCAAGTCAGAGCAGGACAAAGTGAGGCTCAAAGTGAGATGCCCTCTCATACCTCATCTACTCCATCTCCTCCAGAGGATATTAGAAGGCACCCAGCGCCTCCAGTTCCTCCGTCTGGCACTCCAGACCAGGATATGCGGAGTGCTTTGCAGTTATTGACTAGCTTGGTAGCTGCTCAGGCTCAGAGGCAGAATACAGGTGCTGCTGAGAAACCAGTTAGTACAAGAGTTCGTGATTTTATTAATTTAGACCCTCCAGTGTTTACCGGATCAGACCCCAAGGAGGACCCACAGACTTTTATTGACCAGGTTCATCGTACACTTCGGGTTATGCATGTTAGTGATACAGAGGCAGTAGAGTTGGCTTCTTATCGGCTACGGGATTTAGCGGTTCTCTGGTATGATAGTTGGGAGAGATCCAGGGGTCCGAACCCTCCTCCAGCTGTGTGGAAGGAATTTTCTGAGGCCTTTCTTCGTCACTACTTGCCAGTTGAGATACGACGAGCTAGAGCTGATAAGTTCTTGAACCTTAGACAAGGTAATATGAGTGTGCGAGAGTACAGTATGCAGTTTGATTCTTTGGCAAGGTATGCTCCCCATATGGTGGCCGAGATGAGTGATAGGGTGCATATGTTCGTGAATGGGTTGGGACCACATCTGATAAATGAGTGTACGACAGCCTCCTTGGTGGAGGGCATGGATATTTCCCGTATTCAAGCTTATGCCCAGACCCTAGAGGATCGTAAGCGCCAGCAGAGGGCAGTTAGGGAGCAGGATAGAGGCCAGCATAAGAGGGCGAGATTTGCAGGGTATTCTGATGACTTCAGAGGCCGCATCAGGCCACAGTTTTCGAGGAGTTCGGCGCCACCTGTAGCTAGTGCTCCTCCACAGTTTCAGAGGCCTCGATATGATCGATCCTATTCTGGTCCAGGTCAGAGTTCGCGGGCATCTGGCTCGCAACATCACAGGGATACTAGTCAGATGAGACCCCCAACACCACATTGTGATCAGTGCGGCAAGGCCCACTTTGGACTGTGTCGTCGAGGTTCTGATGCATGCTATTCGTGCGGGCAGCCTGGC